CAGAATGTCAGAATCTCAGAATCTCAGAATCTCAGAATCTCCAAATCTCAGAATCTCAGAATCTCAGAATCTTTAGAATCTTGGAATCTCAGAATTTCAGAATTCCAGAATCTCAGAATCTCAGAATCTCAGAATCTCAGAATCTCAGAATTTCAGAATCTCAGAATCTCAGAATCTCAGAATCTCAAAAACTCAGAATCTCAGAATCTCAGAATCTCAGAATCTCAGAATCTCAGAATCTCAGAATCTCAGAATCTCAGAATCTCAGAATCTCAGAATCTCCGAATCTCAGAATCTCAGAATCTCAGAATCTTTGAAATCGTGGAATCTCAGAATCTCAGAATTCCAGAATCTCAGAATCTCAGAATTTCAGAATCTCAGAATCTCAGAATCTCAGAATCTCAGAATCTCAGAATCTCAGAATCTCAGAATCTCAGAATCTCAGAATCTCAGAAGCTCAGAATCTCAGAATCTCAGAATTTCAGAATCTCAGAATCTCAGAATCTCAGAATCTCAGAATCTCAGAATCTCAGAATCTCAGAATCTCAGAATCTCAGAATCTCAAAATCTCAGAATCTCAGAATCTCAGAATCTCAGAATCTCAAAATCTCAGAATCTCAGAATCTCAGAATTTCAGAAGTTTGGAATTTTAGATTTTTAGAATTTCAGAAGTTTGGAATTTCAAAATTTCAGAATTTCAGAATCTCAGAATCTCAGAATCTCAGAATCTCAGAATCTCAGAATCTCAGAATCTCAGAATCTCAGAATCTCAGAATTTCAGAAGTTTGGAATTTTACATTTTTAGAATTTCAGAACTTCAGAATTTCAAAATTTCAGAATTTCAGAATTTCAGAATTTTAGAATTTAAGAATTTCAGAACTTCGGAATTTCAGAATTTCGACTATAAGGATATTTGAAAAATGCACATTAAATCTGAAATTCTGAAAATGTCGAAATAAAAGTTTCAGACAAAAAAGTCAGAAGACCTCCCACACGTCATCTGAATGTCCTTTTTCGTGGTGTCTTCACTGACTTCATCAGACATTTTCAGCCATTTTCAGACCGATTTTTTTCCGCTCGACTGATTTAAAAAAAATTATTTCTTGATTGAGAACTTTTATTCTAATTTTTGATGCATCACATATATACACTTTAAAGGTACAGACTCGAAAATTTCAGAAAACTTCAAAAAAAAGCTATACAAAAAATTTATAGTTGCGTCATAACGTAGGAATTTTTGTTGGCCACTGAAGGAGCACCAGAATGAAATTGGGTTTGCTGAAAAATGCAAACTTGCTCTAATGAGAAAAACAAATGGAGTTTTATCAATAGAGCGCACTTACATCCACGACACTTGAGCCAATTGTATTTGGAATGAAAATGCTGGAACCTTTGTGAAAGAGATGAAGAAGGCCGTCTCTGAAAATAGGGAATTTAAGAATTTCAAAAGATTTGTAAAAATAAAAAACATACATTGGCGAGGTTAGAGACGC